TTTCTAATTTGAGTAGGATTATAATCATTAAGCAAACACGTTGTATTCATATTATATATATATATATAAATATTATTAACATTTTTATCATTGAATACATACTCCCCAAAAGGTGTGTGTCAAATTCTTAAATTTATATTTTGGTAAAATATTTGATAATAATTTTATCTTATCAGTTTAAACTGTATAAAATTACCTACATATTGTAAATATACATTGTACATAATATATAAAATATAAATGTTAAAATGTTAAACATAGATAACCGTTTTAAGCTTAGAACTTTGAAAATGAGTACCTAATTATCGTAAATACGGTTAGACGTCATTTAACATTTTTTGCATTGTCCACGACAATATCGCAGCCATTGAAATTAACATTGTTATCCTAAGAGGCAATTTGGACGGTATTTAGTGTCCACAGAATGTTTGAACAACGGCGTGGAGAATAACACTATACCCAATTTGCTCAGCCGTTGTTTTCGGATTATTTGACTAGGATTGTGCGCATATTAAAATATCCACAATATATGTGGGTACACATATTATACGCACATAGCAACGCGTATATTAGCGTTGTGTGCCTGTGTTGCACTTGGTTTTGTTTGAAACGGCCTACAACACGGCAATTAATTTTTTATCCGAACACGAAAAAGAACTTTAGATTTTCAGAGACCCAGTTGGGCAAGTCGAGAGAATACGCCGGGGACTAACTCCGATATATTATAATGTCACACAAGAGTCGCGGGGGCGTTGTGTTGGCGCAATAATTTAAGGATAACGTCTGCAACACACTTGTCTTTTGTGTGTGTGTGTCTGTATGCGCGTTTCGCGACAAAAAAAAACGTATATACACACACACACACAGCGAACTGTTTCCAATGACCGTTTGGCGGTTTTGTTCTATGCAAATTTGCAACTCCACAACGGGGTTGACTGGGTTGAGATAATAAAACAATACATACTCAGGCACCCATACACACACACACACACACACACTTACATATATATTTAAATGGATATAATATACAATGAGGGGTAGTTGTGGTTGGGTCCCACAGAATTTATCGTGTGCACGCGACCTAAAATTTGCGCGAGGACGAAAAAAAAGTCACACAATAACTTTCTCGTAGATTTCATCGTAATCAAAATATTAATTATATTTACACTAGATATGTGATCTCTAACCCGCATTTAGTGTTTTTTTTTTAATAACATTATCTGTTAGAAACATTACAACATAATATCAATTAAGCGTATCGGATGGTTTTTTTTTATAGACTTCTATAATGTTCTATAACTTTTGTTCTAAGAAAACAAATTTAAAAGATAAAAAAAATTATGCTACCATGTTTACGCAGGTAACTGCGAATAATTCTAAGAATAAATTATTATCATTATTATATATCATGGAATACTGTTTAAAATATATCTAAATTGTCTTATATAAAAAAAATGTGTAATTGGGAACAAATTAAAAGATATAGGTACATAGTTATTATATTTGTGATTATAGATCATTAAATATTCATAATATTACTATATAATTGGATGTACAAACATGATTCTGGTACTTATATTATGCCAACTGGAATAAAATAAAACTATCGCAAATACATAAACTGATTAGTGTTATTACTATAAAGCTTATATTTCAGTGCTCGGTAAAATGTTATTCGAATAAATCGTATTGGAAGGTAATTCTCTTGGTTCTGTAAATATATAGAACTGTCATCCAAAATAAAAATGTAGATATTTATTCGGTAGTTCTAGAAATATCTATGATAAAAGTTTCAGTATGATTTATACACCTACGATGATTCATCGGTATATAATATATATATATTATTATCTATAATTTATTGATAGTGAAAACGTTGGAAAAATCAAGCCATTTTAAAAACCTAGCATTAACCGCAAAAATAAAATATATTATCCTTACCAGTTGATAATTCAAAAATATTGAATATAATTACATAATAATAATAACGACCTATTATGCATATTCACTAGTAAACCACAACTTGTAATTTTTAAACCATAATGTTTTTAGATATACAGACATGTTTTATTAATATATTCACTATTCGTAAATGGCAAATTTAATGACTGTTAGCAAAATAATGTGTTAAAAACATATATGCAAAATTTGAGACATATGACATTTACATACATAGAAAAATCAACCATTAATTTATTATGGGTGTATTAAGTTTTAAGAAATCTAAAAAAATAACGATTGTAAGTAAACGTTTTTCCGACATGTATCTTACCATAAATTCGATGTTTATATTAAAGAAAAAACAACCTTTTCTACATGCTCAAAAAATAACTAAGACAAAACAACTGTTATGCCTAATATGTTTAAATGAAATTGCTTAAATAAATAAAATTATCAAACATTTCAATTTAATGTCGAGAATATCTATTATTTATTAACCAAACAACGTTGGTAATGTATATAATGTGTATCATTTAGTATTTTACTGAGGTTAGATGCCGATTTTAATACGCCGAAAAACGATCAAGGACATTATAATATGGAGTATAGATACTGTGTAACGGACGGCATAGAATCAATTTAAAATAAAAAAATTGTATTGAGGAGGTGGGCAGGATGAGCAACGATTAATCGAGCTGAACACGTACATCGTGCCGTCCGCGGTTACAGGAACGTGACACCCGTTTTCCAAAGATTAAGCAGTTTACGTTCACCTTAGAAAATAGTAAAATATAACCACCTAGGCGCTATAATGTGTTACGATTTAGTTTTCACACGAATAAAAAACATCGTGAGAAAACAAATTGTATTTGTATATTTTTATGTTGGTGATAAACCGATAACTGCAGTTATATGATAACATTACGATTATAACTTATAAGTACCTATAATATAATAATAATAATAAAACGTAATAACACCTATATTTATTTATGTGATTGAACTTAACGTTTTAATCAAAATTTATTTGCAGAAAAATAATATATCAAATATCATCATAAGACGGAAAAGAATTCGAGCAACAACAAATTAAAAAAATTGATCTCGTGACATTAGCTGTTGAGTTTGATTATATTTTGTTATTCGATACAATATATTATTATCTTATTAAAATGAATACGTTTTTGTTGTAGAAGAATACCACTCGATCGATAGGTTGCATGTTTTATATATTATGAGTAATGACATTATGTTTTTGAATACAAAATTCTGGAGCCAATCAATTGGCAAAGAAAAGAAAAAATACATCAAGTTATACAAGGTCAAGAAAACGATCATTTATCCGTTCTTCTGTGCGGTCATAATAATACTACATATCCCTCCAAAATAATAATAAGTTATTATGATGTCAAAGTATATTTTTCTAATATTATGTACTTGTTCATTACCAAAATATTTTATTCTATGACGGTGCACAGTATTCCTATTACCGAGCGGAAATTTAGATCGTTTGCATCTTGCATGAGGTTAAAAAAAAAATTCGATTTACGACCCCGTACACGATTAGAAAAGAAAAGACATAAGGATATCTATGAGGATTGCTTTTGCCCCTAAGGAATAAACGTCTCGTGTCTAAGATATATTTAGACTTTGCTTCCCTCAGAAACCAAAGTCCCGGAAGTCGATCGAGGCTGGTTGCCAGCGGGTATGAACGTATGGATACGTATGTTTATATATCAATGAACAAGGACTGTTTACGAGCGATCAGAGTTCCCAAGTGGAAAATTGAGCTAAATCAATTTAAAGGATAAATTTCATATATTATAGCTGTTCGTCTGCATAGCAGGAATTAGACTCAAACTAAATATTATGTTTGTACAAGTCTAAATTAATCAATCATCTATATTAACTTAATTGTTTATGTTAATTTTATATTTATTTCGTAGTAATTTTACGCTGAACCTAAACATGGTTAGAAAAATAATATTAGGTAATATAATAGATATTCAAATCGCATTTACAGATTACCGTTAACTTCATGGACATTTTTTTTACTTCATAAAACTATATTAAATCCTATTTTAGCATTCGTTTAGTAAAAATAATAATAACCGACCAAATTATATATTTTCGAGGACCGTTATCTTTTGTTTCATTAAGTGTTTCGATCCCTGAACAGCTCTTGAAAAGTCCATTAAAATCAGTCACATTACTCTCATGAACCAAAAAAAAAATCAACAAAATACACTCAAATATGTTAAGGGTTTCGACCTTCCATAGTTACTATAAAGTTGTACGCCACGTCACGCATCGGTTATATTAAATGTTCACTTTTAAGTACACCTATAATCGCGTTACCTAGAATTTTGAGTGAGTTGCTGTGCCTATACCTATCTATTTTAAAACACAGTAGAACATTAAATGGTTTTGAACGCTTACAGTTCCGGTGTTAATTATTTTTATTTTTAATAAATCAACACGTTTTCCAGCAGTAGTGCAAGCAGACAAGTATATAGTATGTAGGTACGTATATAATATATGATACACATTCTACATATTTATACATGTCGTGTTTTATGCAAATTAGTCACCGTTTGAAGTGAGCCAGGTGTTGTACACATCCAATATGTTTCGTTCAAACAACACAGGCGCGTGTACATAAATACATTGAAGATTGTGTGAAAAGTGTACGGGTATTGTTCTATAACATGGGGTAGCCGTCTCGTTGACCTGCTGTCATAACTGGAGATCAATGTGACCGGGTGAAAACAATCATCGCGGGTGCGATATCATGACAGTTATATATTTAACGGAAGTTAAGAGACGAAGGCGTTGACAATGCGTAGCGTCCGCTACGACGTAACGTTGGATAAGGGATGCTGTAAATGTGAGATCGTCATTAGGTACCCGTAACGTAATCAATATAATAACATTCCATCGTATGTATTATTGTATTAATAATAATATTGATAATTAGTTTATTTTGTGTCTGACTTAACAATTAAAACTTTGAATTTATTTGTCTCGCTAATAACCACGTTCTTGGAAAGTGTGTTTACCTGCAACTGGAGACAGCTTTCGCATAACGCACCATCTTGACTTCCACTGCAAAAAAAATTAGATTTAGTAATTATTATTTTGTATAAACCGTGTATCTATGCGGGCATTTGTTTAACGACAGAGAAAAAATAATTTAACATTCAACCATGTATTCGCTCGTTAAAAACAAATACAATGACGTCATACAGACATTTAAATTACACATTCAAACCACCAAAACAATGCAAAATCGACAACGAGATATGCAGGTAGCGGTGACATGAGCATAATCGCGAAAAGAAAAAAAGAAACACTCACCAGGAAACAGGTTACCTCGTATATTAATAATAATTTATGCGCTGTTATTTAAATAGAAGCTAGTGGTATTCAGTTTTGCTTCAGAATTCAAAGTTAAGAAAGTAATATGAATTATTTAAACACCAGACATAGGATTTTTGATCTATGTTGTAAAAAAATGTCTGAATACGATCGTAAAACCAAATTTCTAATTTTCATTTTTATTATAATATTCATAAAGACATGAAGAGATTTTCGGGAACAAATTAAACCCTTGCTTATTTTTTTACTTGCGCTACGCAATCTATTTTTAAGATTTCCTATGGTATTTTAGCAACAAAGAAAGCTGTTTTATTATGAAAGAGATGTTTGTAGGCAATTAATATTAATTCAATACCAACAATAATAGTATGAAGGTACCTATGCAAATAAAAAACAATTAAGTACCTACTGATAATACGCCACTAAGTTATTTGTTATTATTATGAATAATTATGGGAAATACACAATCACTATATTATATCCGTCAATCATTCTCGATCCCAAGATTGGAAGGTTTAAAATTCGAGAACGAAAGGTCATATACGAACATTGTGTATTACTAGTGGGATTCATTAGTGAAAGGTTTAACCGATGACGTTCATCACGTTTTGGTAAAAAATTACAAAACTGACATTTTCCAACAAATCAAAATGCGATTTATTGAAGATGAGAAGAAATAGCAAAGATAATAAGAGTTGCTGAGTTATCGTTAAATTCTCTCTCATGTAAAAAGCAACAGCTAATGATTTATGTTCCGGGTAAGCGACCTCGACATAATTCACTGGACACATATTTTGCCGGTGTATATAATATGCAATGGCTCTGATAATATCCTCCAGCCAATCCCCATCTACGAAAAACAAACCGCTTTCTTCTAATTTTAGTTGACTGTTTTGGATCGTTTGGGAGGCGTTAGACCGAATAAACGGCCCATCGATCTTTCGACGTGGTTATTTTTGGTGTTGAAACTTGAAATTACTAAGGATATTTAATGACAATATTACTCAAAGTTATATTACGTCTAGTGTATAACAGTTAACATACAGCTCAAGAAATTGAAATTTAATTTTTTCATATTTACTAATTATCATCCGTGTCTTATCAATACATTATAATTATAAAAATATGTATGGAAATATTTTACTCATGAATATTAGAAACTCAACCTTTATTAATAAGCCTTTGATCTCTGTTAATTTGCAATCAGAATATTTATAAATTATATCTCATAAAATTAAACAATTACAGAACTTATCAGGAGTTATTTTTTTTAGTAATTTATCACTTATTATTTAAAGAAAAATAACTTTTCTGTTGATTTGGATCAGGAATAAAAAAGTGAACGGTGAATCAAATAAGGCTATAGACAAATTAGAGACAATGTTTAAAAAATGTAAATTTTGTACCTATACTTTTACTTGTAGCTGTAACTGCAAAATATTATTATCAAAGTAATTTTTTTTTATAATAACTCTTATTACTAAATAATTATGATTTTAACAATAATTGCGATTGAGTAATACCAATACGCTGAAAATATTGCTGTTGCAATAATAAAAGTGAAAAGTTAACACAAGCAAAAATAAATGACTAAATATTGTATAATAAGGTTTTTTTTTTAATTCACAGGTTAAAAAGGTCCTTAGATTATTATTAATAAGAGCAATGTATTTATCTATATAACGTTTTAAATAGTATTTAAATTATTTTAAACACATCATATCGGAAGAATTGTAAGACCTATATGAAACCAATGAGCTTTTATAATCTTTGGTACCTAACCTACTACATGTAATATTTTTGTTAGGTTCACCAGTATTTTTTTATTTTTTTTTATCGGCTTTCAGAAGTTAGTCGAATATAATCCGAATACAAGATTTCCATGTACATGCGAAATAATACATTACTTATTTACGCTGTTCAAACTCGCGCAGGACTTACGAAATATTAATATTAATTTCGACTTACCTTTTTTCCATCACGAAATTTGACGGTGCCTTCGATCACCGTATTCGAATCCGTCATAATTCCGTTGGAGAAAACGATTCACCACACACACTAGCACATGTAAAGTACACTTGAAACTAATACAATTTTTTTTTTTAAACAACTACACTACAACTAAACGAATTAGTTTTATTCTCGGACGCAAATTCACGCACGCAACAATTCACGAATTCGTACAGTTAAATTTAAAAATCAAGACGACGGGGTTCGGGACTCACACATAATACGGGTAACACCAACATAATAATATTAATAATATTATTGTTTTGACGAAAAATTCAAAAAAATTGATAACCGTTAAACTACGTCGACGTCGACGTACGTAGTCGTCGTCGATGAGCGATCGTCTCCGGAACGCGACGACGATACCACGCGACCCGGCGAACGCAGTCTGACTGGTCGCGCGCGCGCTACGCTTTTACCACACCGGCGACGGTTCTCCACCGCCACCCCCACCCGATACCTCCACCGCCACCACCGCCGACGCCACGCTACCTCCCCTCGCCAAACATTCACCTCCGTCAGCTTATCGTTTCGCCACCCCTAAGCGCGTGAGTTTACAACACTATACCACGGTATAGAACTATATATATACGAGCGTAGAGCACGCAAAACTCTCGTCTAATGGCATTCTGGGCGCGCGAAAAAGGCGTAAGTACACGAGACATAATATTATACACGTGGGTAGATACGTCAGTGGAGGTGCGATGCCATGGACCGACGACGGCGACGCAGGGATCGTATCGGGAAAGGGGAGGATGTCGAAGACTAGGGGTAGTGTGTAGGATCCGACCGGTCGTGTATATAGTGTGCATGACTTGTATATTCTGGTAATGATATAATACATATCATGTAGGTGAAGCGGGTGGTTTTTCGAAAATGTTTTTACGGTATTTTTGGTGTTTTTTCTTTTTACCCTAAGCGAAAGGACGACCTGCGCGCTCCTGCTCCGCAACCCCAAATTATTTTGCAGATTGTTTGGGAAATGAAAAATTCTCTCCCTCCACGGTTGTTTCACCTTCTACATATAGATATAATATTGATTCAGGTTGTTTAGCAGTACAACATGCATCTATTACAAAGCTATTGGCGCTAAATTTAGCAATAATTAGTTGAAATATGGAACCGATCAAATGGTTACATGATCAAACTTTGTTGCTTTTAAATGGATACTATTCGTTGGTGGTGGAGCAGGACGACGTCCCGTGAAGTATACACGACACAATAGTATTTCTATTCGTTTGTCGTCAGCAGCGGTGCAGGGGGCGAGAGGGGAAGAACTATAATATTAAATTATATATACGGGGATAGTGATGTTTTTTATACCGTACGTTTGGGCGGTTGTTTTTATTCTAACAATTTATTTGTTTTTTTTTTTTGTTTTACCCCAAATAAAAAGGGGCTGCACTTCGCATACGAGAAACCCACGCGCATATGCAGTGGGTACATAATACTACAAATACTACGTAGCTCGATGTACGACTTTACCAAGAAGACACGTGCGCGTGCCTCGAAGTCGGCCGATCGTTCTATACCTGTGTATCATAATTATACATTTCCACAATTATACTTCACATACAAACGATTCTCCCCTTATATTCTGCAATCGATTCGTATTAGCGTTATTTCAGTTGTTACGTCAGTTGTATTTAAGTTGGTCCCACTAAGATAATTTTTTTTCTTACTAACACAATATTATTAGATAATATTTTCTTAGACCAAAAGGCTTCTAATACGTATGTTATTATATGCTCACTTTGATGTTTGATGGCGTAAAAACTGTATTCATGCCAGAGGGTTTTATCACTCACCAGGTGAGGGGTGGGTGAACTGAGCTTTTGCTAGCTATACTTTATATATCCAACGTCTATACAATTTTTATTCATAGAATATGTTTTTCAGATAGGAAATATTTTGAGAAAATATTATTCTATAGTAACATGGCTATTTGTTGGTAAAAATAATATTTTATTTTTATTTACATCTAATAATGATATATAAGTTCTTGTTAGTATGGTAAAATGAAATGAATTATTTAACAGCTTTATTCATCCTTAATATTTTTTATACATTATACACTACAAAATAGACATAATATATGACACGTTTATATTAAAGTAATAAAACGGAAAAACAATCCAAAAATAGCCCAAATCCAATTTAAATCAATTTTTTAATCACTATCCGTCACCGACATTTTAGTTATATTTTATGGATAAAGCATAATATTACTAGGTATATTTAAAAGACATTCGTCTTTCTCAGGCCTAAAATAATGAACCGGATGGGGATTGGTCACATAAACCTACTCCTGATTCAGACTCAGATGCAGACAACCGCAATAATAAGTTTCTATGTTTTCAATATTGCGGATTTATGTTTGTCAATCAGATTTACAATCAGTCAACACGATTATAATAACATGGTATATACATTACACGCATTGTGTATGAGACTATTAAGAGATAATATTGATTATTTGATATAGTTCCATATTATTATATTTCGTCGATAATAATAGTATACGTTACCGTTATCAGTACGTCGATAAATACATCAAGTTCAAGTTTGCAAGGCGTTTTATGTAATTTTAATTTATTTTGGTACCTAATTGCTTATTTTATTTTTTGTCGGCTCCTTTCACGATCGAAGTAAAAAAAATTCTCTATCAACTTACATAATAACCTTGATTTATTTAAATATCACTTAATTATCAATATTAGATTATAGGCATAGTTAAACATAAAGAAGTTAAGTACAAATATTATTTTCAATCAAGAACACAAATACGATTTACTACTCATAAAGGTATTACATTTAATACAAAATATAGATAATATGATAGTTATTTTTTTGTTTTATTATTGTATATTTATTTACAGTATTTTTAATGAATATTTAGTAAATAATATTATATTGTTGTTGACATATTGTATATTGATGTACCTACATTCAATTTTATAGTATGCATTTATTGTAATACATTATACTATTAAATATTATACTTTAAACCGATATTGAAGAAAAATACGAAGATGGGCGAAGAAAAAGAAGACGATTGGAGAAAAATAAATTTAAAATGAAATAACTATTTTAAATAAACTAAAATAATAATATTGAAATATAAAGAGGCTATTATAAAAAATTATACGACGTGATATATATTTTATTTTCTTGGTAAATCGATGTATATTTTTAACAATAATGTTATATAAAACCAAACATTGCGAGTAAATTAAGACGAAATAAAATGTACGTCAAACATTATAAAATTATACTGTTCAAATAAAGTAAAATGGAAATTTGTTGTTTTTAATTTCAGATTAAACTATAATCGGATTATATTAATTATGTTTAAGCGCTATTATAGCTATTTATTTGTAACAAAAATCAATTAACTTTATGACGTGTACACTGTTTGGCCCAAGTTCTATAAAAACGGTGAACTATAGGTGATGCAATTTATTGAACTAATGTGTACGGTTCCTGAAAAAAAAAAAATTAAGAATAATATATTTTCTAATTTTTCATGAAGTGTAAAATAAATATTATAGATTACACCAGTATTTGTGAACCACAGAGAGACTCATAATATTTAACTCATTATTTATTACCAGAAGAAAAAACTTGAACTTCAGAAAAACATTAGTGAAACGCATGAACACTTATCTCACAAAAAAAAAAGAAATCAATGCAAAAAACAATAACAATGATAAACGTTTTTATCTTAAATAAATAGATTACTTCTAAGTTACTGTTTTTGAACTGTAGGTAATGATTTGTGCAGTATGACATTGTATTAAAAAAGTTTTAAAGCTATAACATTAAAAAAAATTCTATTTTCTCCGAGTAAGTTTTCTGTAATTACATTCAGATGGTATTCTAATACAAGAGTACGTAATGTATAAACTGTGGTAGTTAGTAGAAAAAAACTGCCTCCGAAGTTTTATAAATCGATTCTTTGGACAATAGCTGAGATTCAGTTCAACAGAATATAAATCAGACTCGTTTATAAATATGTTTACCAAATTGAATACTGAATTGACGATAGATAATACCGAACAAGTAGTTAAACATTTATTGTTATATTTTATATTATTGGAGTTCAAATGTCGTTGCCGATATTTTTTTTTCGATACTACTATAAGACGTACTAAAAATTACAAGTAAAACTTAGATGGCTGAAAAGGATGAGTACGTAATTAAAAGTAAAAAAAAATGATTGTGAAAGTTTTGACTGTTGAAAATCGTGTTTATATATTAATAGCGCATGCTTATATTATAAATATTATAATACTACAGAAAACAATGATGATCATCACGACCACACAATATGAATGGACAGGTGCATTGTGTTTGATAACGTGACGCATTATTTCTCGAAGGAAATTGTATTTTTTTTTAAAATGTTGTTCTGTATGCGACAGAATGAAAAGTAATTTTGATCAAAACAACACCAACAACAATAACGACAACGACAACGGTATACTTTACGCTAACGTTATTATTAGCGTACAGGATACGGCCGATAAACTATATATATACTCATACAGCAGACCACGATAAGAAGTATAACCATACCAATATAGCCCCATATAGGTACATACTTGTTAAACATACTTTTGAAATAAATTTGAAATACATTTACTCGTCTATATCAACTTTTTTCTTGAATGCATATAAATTCAAAAAATTCACCAAATTTTAATTTTTGATACATTATTCAAGACATAATATTATATTGAAATCGATTAAAATGTTAACAAGTTAGAATAGATTATTTGATTTTTGATTATATAAGTTATGTTATCAAATAATAAGAGTATAAGGCGGATCAGCATTTGTCTGAGTCAATTTTGGTTCTTTAATATGGATTTATTCGATGATAGATAAATACATGTATATATGGTAATATCCGTATGATATACCTACTTATTAAGCGGGGATCAAAATTGGTTTTGGTTTTGTAGTATAGCAAGACTCTTACTGCAAAACCAAGACCAAACCAATACCGACGTTGCAAAACCTAGGTATACGCTGTAAGTACCTATTATCTTCTTTTCTTAAAAACACGTCATTTAGTTTACATAGTTTGATTAAATTATTTATTACGTAAATAATAAGAAATTATCTTTAGTTACATACTTATTACATTTGATCGGTGTTCGACGAAATGGTGAATTATTGAAAACAAGAATAGAAATAATTGGAATTAATATGACAAAATATAGTTACCTCATACTAGGTAATTAACAACTAAGGAAAAATTACTTTATATATTCCTGAAATCGATAAGATATAGACGTCGGAAGTTGCAGCCTTACTGATATAGGATAATTTCTTCCATAAATACACCTCTATATTGAATCTAATACAAATAATTATTGCTGGAAGTCACTACGG